GAGCTAGAAGGGATCATGCTCAGTAAAATAAGCCAGAAAGAAAAAGAAAAATACCGGATGGTCTCACTCATAGCAGGAATTTAGAAACCTAAATAAGGGACCAGGAAAAAAACTAATTATAATAAAGTAAAAATCAAAATCAACAAGCAACTATAAACCAGAGACACACTGTGGGGCAGGGGGAAGGAGTAGGATCAAAACAGGGGGGGTGGGATTTATATGGGAACTATAACCGAGATGAAAATGCATACATTGTGCAAAAATGAAAAATGATGTAAAAAATGTACAAAATAAAAAAAAAAAATCATGGGAAAAAAGAAAAAAGAAAACTAGGACATAGTCACTAATTCCTATATGTTGTTACTTTATCTTACCAACCATCAATTTCACCCTCTGTACATAAGAACTGTGAACTAAATTGTCTTCTAAATCATTTCCGCTTTGTATCTAAGACTTTAGTTGTCTATCAGGTCAACAGATCCAGTGTATCTCAATTTATCATTATTTTATCAAGAAGAAAAGCAAGACCCCCCAAGGACAACCTTGTCTACTTCAAGAGACAAAGCTTTGGTGGCAGAGTCAGAAATGATACCTAGATTCAGTTTAGTGCCGAACATAAAAAATGTCCTTGTTTGACTGTGACCCATCTCTCAAAGCATTAATTAGTTGAGAACATATATCTCCTTGTTTACCAGGAGAAAGCTGGTAAAAATAGATGACCGGTCCTTAAAAACTGGGGCCAGGAGTTGATCATAGAAGCAAATAAAGTGGATCGTGATGCTAAGCTCACCTTCAGGCAAGGAGCACCATGTGATGGGGTCATCAACAGTTCCTAATGTCATCTCCCTGAAGCTCTTCCTCTCTTTGGGTCATACCCCTTTCAGAGAAATTTCTGTTCGAAATGTTTTATTATTTATCAAGAGCAACTTAATGTGGCTCCCATTGCTCTCTCAGCCTGGAGGCCCGAATCCCCCAAATTAGATCCCTGAAATGCTGCCATAAAGCTGAACCCATTTAATTTTGTCTGGTTCTATTCATTTGCATAATGAATACTGAGCTCATTTACAACTCTAGGAGAACACTCCATATTAGCTAGTGGCAAAATAAAACTCATTTTTATAGCCAGGGTTTTCTAAGTTGCATTCACCCAAAATAATGTGGGAAAATATTAAAATTGTGAATTGAATTAAAGAAAAATGTCTTTACATAATTTCAAATACAAAAATTCAGAAATAAAAGGTACAATTTGTTATTTGATGTAATTTAGTAGTAAAATACAAAGGAGGTGATTCATAGAAGACGGCTAATTAATTAGATGTTTCTCATCTGCACTCTTTGATACCAGCTGAGCACTTGACCTCATAAACTAACCAGGACTTACAGAAGATGCCCAGTACAGTCAGATATACAGGGTGATGCTCCCACAAAAGCAAAGAGAAAAAGCAGATAACATTTAAATCCATATAAAATGTATTTAAAATACATTAAGGTATTGAAAAGTTTTAGAAGCAACATAACTTTGGGTTAAAGAACACAGATGCAAATGACCACCTACTAAGTATATCTATTTACATATAATTCTAAAGAGGCAATTTTTTTCATCTTTAATATGTAAAGATATATTAATTTCTTAATAATCCAAATAATAATTTGTTGGAAAGCAGATTTGAACAGAAAAACACAAGAAATTAAACTCCAGTGATAAAATTCAGAATAGAGCTATGTTAATCATGTGCCATGGCTTAACAATCATCACAAATTTAGAGACCAAAAAAATACATTTATTATATGTGTTTGTGTTTATTGTAGAATTTAGACAAAGGGATGAACTTAGAGTGAAGAGCTGAGTTTGGCTTATTTATTGTTCTGCATCTCTCCCTGCCTGGTTATGACATGACATTTATTCATTTATTTATTTATATTTATTTTTATTATTTTTTAATTTTATATATTTTACATCATTTTTCATTTTTGCAGAATGTCTGCATTTTCATCTTGGCTATAGTCCCCATACAATTCCCCCCTCTTGTTTTGATCCTACTCTGTCTCCCCCACACTGTAGTGTATCTCTGGTTTATAGTTGCTTGTGATTTTGATTTTTACTTTATTATAATTAGTCTTTTTCCTGGTTCCTTATTTAGGTTTTCTAAACTCCTGCTATGAGTGACACCATCCGGTATTTTTCTTTTTCTTTCTGGCTTATTTCACTGAGCATGATCCCTTCCAGCTCCATCCATGCTGCTTATGAGTTGGCTTTATCCCTCAGACCAGGGATTCTTTTAGGTGCTCTTTCCTGCGGGGGCCTGGAAACTACTCTCTGCTTCCTCTCCTCCCAACAGGGAGAGGAAGGAAAAAATTGCTTCGCTAATTTTGGTTCCTGCAACCTGACCTCACCTTTATAAACAGTCCTTTAGTAAGTCTTCTACTGTACCTGATGTGGATGTGACACCTTTCAATGTGTGTGGATGTGACACCTTTTCAATGCCCAAATCTTAATCTTAACTAATATAGCCACTCAATTCAAAGAATTTAAAAGTATACTTTTTCACATATCACAGGTCATGTGCCCTCCCCCAACACTACACTCATCAAATACATTATAATTTTAAGGGATAAAACTGTTAAACTTGAAGGAAATATTTGTTGGGGGAAGCATGAAACTTGAGAAACCATAAAGAAACAAAAAAAAAATGCAAAAGCTGTGATAGATTAGGTGATGTTATAATTAAATTTTTTTTCTTGTCTTTTTTTAATTTTTTTTTAATTTTATACATTTTTTACATCACTTTTCATTTTTGCACAATGTATGCATTTTCATCTTGGTTATAGTCCCCATACAATTCCCACCACCTTGTTTTGATCCTACTCCCTTCTTCCTCACCCCACCCCCCGCCACCACCCCCAGTAGTATGTCTCTGGTATATAGTTGCTTGTTGGTTTTGATTTTCACTTTATTATAATTAGGTTTTTCCTGTTGTCTTATTTAGGTTTTCTAAATTCCTGCTATGAGTGAGACCATCCTGTATTTTCCTTTTTCTTTCTGGCTTATTTCGCTCAGCATGATCCCGTCCAGCTCCATCCATGTTGCTGCAAATTGTATGCTTATCTTTATTTGTTTATCTCTATTGATTGCTGAGTAATATTCCATTACTTTGTTTATCCATTGTTTATCTTTATTGATTGCTGAGCAATATTCCATTGTGCATATGTACCACATCTTGATCCAGTCATCTATTTTTGGGCATTTGGGTTGTTTCCATAGCTTAGCTGTTGCAAATAGTACTGCAATAAACATAGGGGTTCAGGTGCCCTTTTGAAATATTTCTGTGTCCTTTGGGTAAATACCTAGGAGTGGAATTGCTGGATCATATGGAAGCTCCATCTTTAGCAGGTTGAGGAATCTCCACACAGCTTTCCATAGTGGTTGGACCAGTTTGCACTCCCACCAGCAGTGCAGGAGAGTTCCTTTTTCTCCACACCCTCACCAACATTTGTTGTTGCTCATTTTAATATGCGCCATTCTCACTGGTGTAAGATGGTATCTCACTGTAGTTTTGATTTGCATTTCCCTGATTACAAGTGATGTTGAACATTTTTTCGTATGCCTGTTGGCCATTTGCATTTCCTCTTTGGAGAAATTTCTTTTTAGCTCTTCTTTCCATTCTTTGACTGGGTTGTTTACTTTGTTTTTGTTGTTGTTGTTGTTGTTGTTTGTTTGTTTGTTTGTTTGTTGAGTCTCCTCAGCTCTTTGTAGATTTTTGTGATCAGTCCTTTATCATCAGTGTTGTATGCAAAAATTTTCTCCCAATCCTTGGGGAGTCTCTTTGTTTTGGTTACTATCTCTTTTGCTGTACAGAAGCTCTTTATTTTTTTTTTTTATCTTTTTTTTTAATCTTTTTATTTATTTATTTATTTATTTATTTATTTAATAAATTTTATTTTTATATTCCCATACAATTGCAATCCCCCCATTCTGACCCCAATCCCTCCCCTCCCGCCCCCCACCCCCCAAAAAGTGTCTCTGGTTCATAGTTTTTGTTGATTTTGATTTGATGTAGTCCCTGCTGTTTATCTTTGCCTTTGCTATCACTACTTTGGGTGATGTGTCTTTGAAGATGTTACTGAGGTGTATGTCATATAGTGTTTTACCTATATTTCCTTCTACATATTTTATGGTTTCAGGTCTATGTCTAGTTCTTTAATCCATAAGAAGACACAAAGAAATGGAAAGACATCCCCTGCTTATGCAGTGGAAGAATTAACATTATCAGAATGACCATCCTACTAAAAGCAATGTACAGATTCAATGTTATTCCAATAAAAATTCCAATGACATTCTTCAAAGAAATAGAACGAATATTGATGAAATTCATATGGAGCCACCAAAACCCCTGAATAGTCAAAGCTCTCCTGAAACAAAAGACTGGAATGGAGATATCACACTCCCAGACTTCAAACTATACGACAAAGCCATAATAATCAAAACTGTGTGATATTGGAACAATAACATACACACGGACTAGTGGACTAGTGGAACCCAATAGAAAATCCAGAAATAAACCCACAAATTTACGGTCAACTAATATTTGACAAAGGAGCAAAGAATATGCAGTGGAGCAAAGAAAGATTGTTCAATAAATGGTGCTGGGATAATTGGGTCACTACATGCAAAAGAATGAAGCTTGACTACTACCTCACACCATGCACAAAAACCAACTGAAAATGGATTAAAGAACTAGGATGTTTGTATGATTAAATTAATCAAGAGCCAAAGAAAATCTTGACATCACATGAAATACACAAAATATTCATCTTTAATATATAAAGATATATAAATTCTTTAATAATCCAAAAGTAAAATAGGCAGAGGATTTGAACAGAAAAACACACAGGAAATTAAATTCAATTGTCAAATAAGCATATAAAACAATGAATTGAAACAGTAATTGTAGCAGTAATATACCATTTTCTTTCTCACTAGGAAAATGGAAGAGATTGATTTCATTTGATGATGAAAAAAATGCCATCGTAGGCAACTAGCGTTGAGTATAAATGTCTGTAACTGATGTCGTTTTGGGAGATGTTGATTTTGGAGTGTGGGATCCTTGGGTTCACTTGGAAAAGCTTTCAGGAGAGCTCCTCTTTCACCAGCACCGGCGAGTTCCCAGGTGAGTTTCTCCACAATGCAGAGACATTAGTTATATCCAAAAGGGCAGGTTTAATATAAAAGGGAGAGAAGAATAAAATACACTTGCATAGTTCAAGCAGGCAGAAAGGGCTGCCCTGAAAGGGACAGATTTGCTAAGAGAGACCTGCATGGTTGCAGGCAGGCAGTCTTGAGGGAGGCTGAGGGAGTTCAGTGAAGAAAAGTCCTGGCATGGTACAGGTCACAGGCAGGCAGCAAGGCTCCTGCCCTGCAGAGGGTTCAGAGAGTTGGTGAAAAGGAGCCCCTGGGCAGTCACAGGTGGACAGAAGGACTGCTGCCCTGAGGCTGTGCAGAGATTGCACTGATACAGTCTTCTTTTCTTTGGGAGGGACTCACTCTGTGGAGGAGAAATGGGTTTGTTTGTTGTTGACTTTGAATAAACTATGCAGAATTTGAAAGGGGCCAGCTTTCTACAGTGACCCTCAATGTCCACATCTTCACCTTCAGATCTGTGCTCCTGACACCCCTACAGCAGTCTGATACCTGCTTGGGTCTTGTGCTTTGTGATCTAGGCATTGATGTCTAAGGATCTAAGTTCCTATAGCTGGGCTCATGGCTATGTTAATCCCTTCTACCCCTACACCCAGCTCTTGGCAGTGTGTGAGCCAGGTTTCTGGTCTTGTGGCACATCCTTTCCAGTTTTTCTATCCTTATCCCCCATCACAACTACCATCTTGAATAGTGAAATGACATTGCCTATAATATTAAAATCAAATGAAGCCATTTCTTTGCTTCTGCATTCCCACAATTAGTCATCCATCATAATGGAACAAAACTATCAGTATCTAAGGATATGAATATGAGGATGTTCATTATTGCACTGTGATAGCAAATACTTAGGGGAAAACAAGTCAAACAGAGGGACAAATTTAAAAAGGTTATAGGTAGACATTTTATGAAATGGTATGCAGCTAATAAAAATAGGTTATGTCTGGGCCTCCCTGGTGGCGCAGCGGTTGAGTGCTGGGTTGCAAAGCTGCCTGCAGCCTCTGCAGCATCGGTTCGATCCCAGGCCACAGGTGAGGGTCCCACATGGCGCGCAGACCTCTTCTGCCACCCGCTGCTCCCCTCAGCAGTGTATTTGGTCATTCTGCCTGCTCTGCTCTCAGCTCTGGCTCTGGTGAATTCTCTCACCCTCCCGCGCTTCTGACTGTACCCAGTGCTTGTATAAATAAATAAATAAATCTTTTTAAAAAAAGTATATACTATAAAAAAATAGGTTATGTCTACTGTGGTCTAGTAGGAGGGCCATAATATTTTTAACAAGGATGAAACACACTGAAGAATATTTATTGTAAAATACTATTTTATCAAAACACAGAAGAATAAAGAAGGGGGAAATCACATATACATTTACATATACGTCAAAACCATTATGGAAGTAAATCATAGGGTAAGTGGACAGCCCTTAAGGTCAGAATAGAATAGGAAAAGCCTCGGAGCAATGAGGAGGACTCCGGCAATAAGGACAACAAATTCCAAAGGGGACTGACTAATCAAGCACCCCAGGACCAAGAGCAACAGGACATTCTGGAACAAGGATGATAAAGAAAAGCATGCTAAGAGAAGGGCTGGGACACAGAGACTTAATTCTGGCATAGAGACTTTGAGACAGTGAGTAAGACCAGGAGAACTAACCAATCACCAGAGACTGGTGGAGTTTAGAATAATTAGGGGAAATTCTCTATTCCCTGAGGCACGACTCCGCTTTGGCTCCCTCACCCCTCCCTGGTCTGGTTTCACCATCCTGGGGATCCCACTTTATTTCTGTTTTCTCCTTAATAAACTTTTCTTTCTCTAAGCAAATCTGCCTCTTCTCACTTGATTGCCTGAGCGTCAGTGAAGTTTCTGCTGTGGCTTGTGAGACACCAACCTGTGGAGGTCTAGTGGCTGGGACTCAGCGCTGCCCCTGCAACATGGGATCCACTCCTGGCTGGGAGACTAGACCTGAAAGCCTGAAATTACAGTACCAGAAGAGAGGCAGTAACCAATATTAATTATATCAATAGATTTGGAATGAAAAGTGGAGAGAGGAGCTATTGCATACTTTCATAGATAAAACCATAAGACAACATTTTCATTAAAAAACAAATACTTTGCCATAAGAATAATGAACAAAAACAGATACCTGCATGTAAGGTGATTTAATATTATATATGCATACTATATTAATGTGCATATATATAACTCTGAGTATAATCCGGATATCGGAAATTTGCACTGAGTGTTCCCACTCATATAGAACGAGCTACCTGTAAGACTGAGCTATTGTCACAGCTTCTACTGTGCATTGAGATCACTTACTGATTCAGAACCTTCCGATCATTGTATACTTAAGTATTCATTAACATATAATTATTTTTAGAATTTAATTGACAGTTTTGGCAATAGAGCTGTCCAAGTTTAATTTAGAAAAAAGTCTGAGTTGGGAATTGTGCTTTCCCTGGGTCTGTTTCAAGGAATTGCTTTCTAAATTAAAAGAACATACTATATTCAATCTTATGTCTCAATCTAATACAGTTTTGTAGCCACAGAGGAAGTTTAGTGAAATCTTTCTCTCATGCTATCAGAATTTTTAATATTTAACAAGCCCTCTCCTGTGGTTTTTCTATTCTAAATGAAGATTTCACTATTTTCCTGCTATTCTAAAATAAACACCATTGAAAAGAAAATAAACAAACAAAAAGTGACCTGTCAAACAAAACCTATCCTCTAAAGGTGAAACCAGAGATAGCCAGTCTATTAGCAATATTGACTGGCTGATATTTGAAGGTCTACTAGCTTATCTGAATTTATTTTGCTAGGAATTCATGAATATTTTTCATACTTACAAGATACCATCTGAATCTAGCCCTCTTCACTGTCTGGCAAGAACTCCCCAACTTCAATTGTACTACTTTTACTACTCAATCCTTGATCAAATTTCACCTCTTTCCCAATGATTAGAATGGAATTCTATATATTTTATTTAATTCTATCATTTATTTTTGATAATGGTGTACATGTTTTAGTGTCTTTCTGCATGATCAACTTCCCGTGACAATTGCTAGAGTGTTGAACAAATTAGCCCCCAAATAATTTTTTATAAGAAAAATGTTGACTAGGAAAAGATATGCCATAATTTTATAACATTTAAGTAGTGCTTAAAAATATTTTTTAATCTGAATTTTGAGGGAACTGCAGATACAGTCCAAGTTTCATAGGGAAATTAGTTAATATGATTCAGAAAGTTAGAAAAGATAATACAGTTTGCTAACTCTGTCTATTTTATAATACTTTGGAGGCCAGAGAATGGTGGAATGAAGAGATTTATAAAACATTAGCCCTGCAGTTTTCCCGTATTTGATTTTCCAGATGGTACATTGCACACTGTGTGTATTCATACAATACAGAGAAGATTAATCAAAAGAGCAAAACACGTAACTGTCTTTTTAATCATAACTTTAATTCTCTTCTTTCTCCACCTCCAGAGATTTGGATAAAATATTTCCCCACATTGGCAGTATTTTTCCTTGGAATGCCTGTGTGGACCAATCATATTTCACTGCAGGTTAAATGTCTCTAAAATGGTTAGCGTATTTGAAAGGCTCACCTAAGAATTTGTGATATGTATTCAGAACCCCTGATAATTTTAGGCAAACACAGGTCTAGAATCCAGATGGAAACATTTACTTACCTTAGACAAACAGAGCCTGAAAGACTTATAACAACATTCATTCCATATTATAGAACTTGCTTGTCTCTGCCTTGGACCATACCCACAAGCATCTCTCTACAAAATTTCCCTCCTCTCTCCCATAGTCCATATGCAGTTGTATTTTAAATTCCATCTCAAAACTAGTTTTCTTCAAGATATCTTCCAAGATTGTTCTCTCTGATCGTTCTTTGTCAAGATTTTCATTAAGTGCATGTTTAATCATTGCAACACATTTATTCCATCTTATGTATGTTCTAACTTGTTAGTGTGTTATTTTGTCATCCTTAGATTGAATTGGGTTTTCTTTCTTCCACTGTAAGTTTCTTGATATCAACAGCTTTATCTTATCAGAGTTCCACTTAATGAGGGTTTAAGGAATGATGATAGAGAATGGTTGGGATTGAGAATATAGGAGTTGAAAGCACTTGGGGTTGGTAATGTAAACATAAATCAGTTCGTGAAAGCCTCTATTCACGAACATGTCATTATTTTCAAGTCAAGATTTATTGAGTATCGAATATATGCCAGAGACTGAAACTACTCAGTTTACCTATAGTATAGTATAAAATAATATATCTCATTTAATCTTTGCCCCACACTAATATAAAGGATTGCTATCCACATACCATAAATGCAGAAACTTAACCTTAGTAAAGCAGTATAGGAATAATTAGAGAAGGGAAATTTGAATTAACAAGCTAAAAAGTTGAAAATAAACACAAAAGGGATGCGTGGATGAAGTGGTTGGATCAGAAAAGTGACAGTTAATCAGGTCTCGATTATAAAACAGACTGAAATTTCTTTGGTTTTTTCAAAGAATCATAATTATGAAGTGCGGGAGGGTATAAAACTTGGAAAAAAGTTTGCCCAGGGGATTTTGGTAACTGCTCTCCTACCCAACTGAGGATAACTGCTTCACGAGTATTGCTTGGCACCACCATGAGAGAAGACTTCAGAAGTATAAACTTCCAAGAAAGAGGATTTAGTGTGTTCTCTTCAGGGTCAGATTATGCTTATTTGCATTTCTAATTATCATCTTGTAATTTGGAATGGATTGTTATTGAAGTATGTAAATTTATAATCACTGAAGTTTAAAAATATAGGTTTTACAACCTCTCATCTGAGATGGGGGTCTCTTTTAATTTTCCATCAAATGTAGGACATTCCTTAATGCCAGGATTTTCTACAGCTTCATTTGTAATCAAACCCATTAGTTTATGTTAATGGAAATCAGGTGATAGGGCTTGCTCCAGGAACATTCAGGAACTGACTCTCATGCACTCTTGTCATCAGGAATACAGTTTTATTTTCCACTCTGGCTTCATTTATGTTGGCTTTGAGGCAGATGGGTCTTGAGTTCATGAATCTTAGTTGGTATGTAGACAAGAAAAGTCTTCACTTTCAATAACGTGCATGGAGTTTCTTTTCCTCCCTACCCCTAATCATTCTGATTGTGTAGGTCTGGGTTCTATTCCAGTTAAAATCAAAAAACAAGGGGAGAGTAGCCTCTAAAAATTCCCCGATTAGACAAAACCAGTTTAATCATATAAACAAGACTTAATTTAGCTTATTTTGCCATGTTGACCTGACCTAGATTATTTCTTGTTTATGCCTCTGGAAATCATAAACAACACTTAAACTGTCTCCCAAGGTTGATATTGAAAATTACATTATAACCCATTGCTGTAAGGAAGAAGAAATCACTGCCTTTGCACTAAGTAAGCTACTTTGCTACAATATACCTCTAAGCTTCATTCTATGTTTTGATTGGTGTATTCCCAGTTTACAAACTGTCCTTCTGAAGTATACAGAGTGAACTTTTACTACTGGTTGATGACTCACTGGATATGCTGCTGTCATTTCTGAATTTTTGACAAGCCTATCCCTGACCATCATCTGTGGGAAAGGGACCTTGCTTATTATGGCCCTAAGCTTGTCATTCTCCCTGAGCAAGGGCTTTAGATCTTTAACGTGAATTAGAATTACCTGTAGTACTTGTTACAGGTTACGGAGTCCCCCTCCCAGTGTGACTGATTCAGTAAATCTGGTGCCCAAATCATTTGTATTTTTAGCATCTCCCAGGTTATGATGATAATGCTGGTCACAGGGTGCCATTTGAGAACCATTGGCCAGACCACTTCTTAAAACAATTAAATAATAAACTCTGATAACTAGATCCAGGTATATGCATTTTTAAATGCACACATGGATCATCGGAAGTCTTCTCAAAATAAAGATGCTGATTTGGTAGATTGCAGGGGTCGGTGGAGATTCTGCATTTCTCATAAACTCTTCAGTGATTCTGAGGCTCCTGCTTAATGAATCTTGCTTTGAACAGCGAGCACCTGGAGTTGATCGTTTTACTTAATTTGGGGAAAGCCAGGTGTTGCTATGTCCAGAAACTTTGTGAATAGTGCTAGGCAATCAGGAACCGGAGGACATACCTAACCACTGTGAGAGAGCAGCAGTGGGGTGGGGGTTCTTCTGGAATGGCGGTTTCTGCTGGTAGGTGGGTGATGGCTTTGTGAGCTTTCTTTTAACTTTTAGCTTCTAGGAATTGTCTTCAGCTCCTTTGTATTAGTCTGCACTTAAGATAACTCAGCTTCACAGTCTTGTTATAGTTGAGAAATCAACTCAAGTGAAAATATTTGTTGTTGTTTTGCCAGTTCATCAAGAATAAGTCATGAAAACCTATTCCTAGGCTGAAGTCATGGTGTGTTTTAAGAGGAAGCCACCAGCATTTTAATTGTCCTGCAGAACAACAGATACCTATCTACACAGCTGTTACCAGGAGAAGAGGTAAGGAACAAAAGTTTTTACCTATAGGAGGGAAATTGAGCACATCCCTGTCCCCCCTAACTGATCTGCGGTATTTACCTTTGCCAGTGTGTCTTAATAAAAACTGCTCGCCTATCCTAAGTGAATAGATTCACTTGTAGGAAAGATTTGCATGATACTCTGTAGGGCAAGTTTATTTTATTTTATTTTATTTTATTTTATTTTATTTTATATCATGTTCTCCCTCCAGGCATAGGTCCCCGAGTCCTCCCATCACCATAGCGCCTGAGAACGGCCATCATAATCCCTTGTGCTCTTCCTTCCCCACTGTGGACCCCTCACCTTCCCCCTCCCTTGCTATTTGCTTCAAATCTATGATCAGCTTGCAAGTTTTCTTTTCCCTGACCCGCTATTTGATTTTCCTGTGTTCCACCTACAAGTGGCACCATTTGATATTTTGTATAGGGCAAGCTGAAATCCTCAAGTGATATGGAGAGAGGAAATAGGACAAAAAAAAAAAAATCCAGTGATTGTTGATAATTAATTGTGAGCAGACAAGTGAAAATAGAATCTAATTTCAAAAAGTATGGTATCAAGTGTGAAAATGCCAGGAAAATGCAAGTAAAACTGTGCTTTAGGTCTCTGCTATAATCCACTCATAAAAACTGATTTGAACTTATGATGGGTTCTGTACATTATAAGAAAAAAAATGGCTTCAACTATTTATTAGATATGCTCTCTGTTTATCAATATGTGATATATGTGAGTGAGATTCGTGTGAGACTACTTTGGGTATGTTTTAAACCATCAAGAAGGGCGGGAAGTGGAGAGCTTTCTATGGAAGCTGATGTTACTGGTGCCCATTTTCTTTGTTTCTGATGCACGTTTGGTAAGATTGAACTAGGTTTGCTAAGATCCTATTTTAAAACTTGGGAGGAACTTTCTCCAGCTATCCATTCAGCTATCTTTTCAAGGCATAATTTATAGTTAGCATTTGCACAGTAAGTCTCATAAAAATTACAAATTTTATCACCCCACATTAGAGTGACTGGTATGATGTGGATGACTAAGAACATGGTTAATAATCTGTCTCTTAAAACTTGTAAGGTCAGTGTATCAGCTGCTGAGAATACCAGTTCTGGGTGAAAAACTGACAAGAATTTGAGAGGTTTTGTGAAAAGATCAGTGACCTTTGTTGTGGAAAGCAAAACAGGCTCTAATAATTCCAGTAGAGGACAGCGATATCTATGTACCTATGCCCTTTTGGGAGAAACCAGCAGCAGATGGAATCGATGATAGTAGGAGCCATAACAATTACTACCTGATTGTTACACTGTGTCAGGTGTTTTACATATACTTCGTGTTCAAACTAGCACATGTGATCTTATTGTCCTCACTGTACTGACAAGAAACTAGTCTTTGAGAATTTAAGTAACATTGGAATGAGTTGACCAAGATTGTATAACAGAAGTTAGAATTTTAAATGCAGGTCTAAGAGGTAGATTGGTACCCTGGAAAGCTATCAGTACTACAACTGACACCCAGAGTACTCAATTATGATGGCCTAATGTGAATTCCTCTATCTGTGTTCCCAAGACATTAATATTTCTGCAAGATGCTACCAGGTGGTTGCAGGGGTGAGGGGGGACTCTAGATAGGTTAGAATGGTATAGGATTTGTGAGAAATCTGGGTTACATAGTTCTAGGCAAGTCTGAAATGTGCACCTTTTTCCTTTCAATGATGTATCTATGTCAGTAACATACTTGTACTGGGATTGTAAACATAAAAAAAAAAAATACATAATCTGTGTTCTTGCCTATGAATCTAGGATGAGTCTACCAAGACAGAGAATATAAACACAAAAGGAAACTTTATTATGTGTGTGTTTGAAATGACCATTCTGTGTCATCGGAACATACTTCTGTGTAGCTTGCCTGGGAAATCATCTTCTTTGAAGGCAGATCAAAATCCATGTCACAGAATCTCTTAAATCTTTAGGAATTGAAAGACCCTAAGCCTGGCATTTTTTCCTACTAGTAAGATTTTTTTTTTTTTTTTGTAACTAAGATTCTTTCTCTTTGTGCACTCTACAGAATTTATTTGAACTATAAATGCCTGAAAAAATAGAATCATAGGACTTAGGTTCAACAAGTTATTTATTAAAGTCCAAAGAGGCCTGGAGAGCTCCTATATTTTCCAAATAAGGAAACAGGCCAACTAGGAGCTGTACATTCTCAAAGCAGATTGATGACAGAGTCAAGGCTTCACGCTTCCATTTCCATTGACACCATCCTTTGAGAATGTCCTCATGTCATTTTATATCTACATCCTAGAAGCTATAATACATCCTAGAAGCTACAATGCATTCTGTAACTTAGAGAGCTTCAGAGTTAATTAGAAGTTAAACAAAAAATCATCAAATGAACATTCAAAAGAAAAAAGATTTCAAGTGGGTATGGAAGGGAAAAACGGCCTGTGTTTCTGCTCTAGATAGTGTTTTGGGAATGAGGCTAAGCACTTAGAGTGAGTTAATATTTACCATGATGTGTAATTACAGGAATTTGAGCTGATGCTCTTGGGTGAAAATGGTCCCCATCTTTTCAGAAAGCAGTTTCTCCTCAGCCATGGGAAAGAAACAAACAAGCCCACTGAGAGATGTGACTGAATTATTAAATGCCTAGTCTGCTTATAAGGATTAATTGTGAGATCTGAATCAATATTTTATTTTAGTTAGTGAAAAATATATGAGACAACCCCCTTTTTTATAAGTACCCAGGATAATTAAAAATGATGTATTCCTTCAATTGGCATCTTCTAATGGCTTATACCTGTAATCATTAGTTTGGTTTTGATCAAGGTGGAAACATTCTCTCAGACCCTCATGCCAGCATCCTTGCACCTCTAACCCTGCCTACACACAATGACTTTATTTATTTATTTATTTACAGTTGGAGAATGTTTATGGAGGACTCAAATGTCAGTGAGAACAGGTGCTGTGAGGTACATAGTAATGAGCGATTTATACTCCAACCCAACAAACAGAATTATGATTAAACACATGTAACCTAGTTGTCTTTTGGCCACATCACTGTGTGTGTATTTGGAGTACTTGTGTGTACACATACATTCAATGGATGTAGCCATTGACTCACAAAACAAAAAAGCCTAAGTAGCTCTGTCTTCTACTTAATATTTTCAGACATATATATTTTCTTTGAAGTATCTCCAAACCCCTACAATTTTTGGATCCTCCCAAGAGCTATCTCATTTTGGAAGCAGGGTAAACAAATGGATGTGAATGTGAGTTTGAATTCTGCCCCACCTAACAGTTTTGTAACCTGGGGCAGGTTCCCTAACCTCACTTTCATTATATGAAAAGTGGAAATATATGAAAATGGAAATATCAAAGCACCTACCCTTTCCCCCTAGATTTATTTTAAGTATGAATTAATATAGATGCACTTGCTGCCATAACTGATGGAAAATAAACCCTCAATGACTGTTTGGTATAATTTCACATGCAATTATATATATATATATATATATATATATATACTTGTAATTGTATATATATATATATATATATATATCTGTTTCAATGACTTAGAGATATATTTTCCCTACTTTAGCATCTTTGGAACTTAGTGTCAATTTGAATTCACATTCTATTTTAAATGCAATGAAAAATTATGTAAAATGCTTATTTACGTACCATGCACATGCATATATATTTAACATTTGTAATATGTATTCCCATGGGTGCACGGACACCCTAACATTCCTATTTTCTTCCTTCTGACACAATTGAATGTGGTGATCTGACATTCAGGTTTTGGTTCATATAATTATGTAAACATTACAACTGGAGCTCAATCAGACAACTTGCCCTGCTAATGATGTTGCTGATACCTGCATTGGAGTAGCTCAAAGCTGAAACTAATGCGTCTAGGGAGACTATTAATTTACATTACTGCAAGAATGATTAGTGTTTATTATGCCAAAATTCCTTTAATTTCTGTTAATATGGGGTAATCTCTAGGATATACCTTATATTCCATTAATCTGAATTTATGGCAAATTTGCCAGGTACTCACACTTTATGGAGTTCAGTTGATGGACTCTTTCAGGTTTGGTTTGCAAACTACACTTCCTAAGAGGCAGGCTTATATCCCAGCTCAGACCGGAAGGAGAAGCTGAGTGATAGGCAAGGTGGAGTCCTTACAAATTGCCCCTTCTCTCAGGCAGGCTGATTTTTATTTTAGGGTGATTGTTTCCTAGGTTATCTGTTCCCTTTCTAAGTTCCTTATGCTTGCTGCTTTTGATGGGAATAAAAACCAAGCTAAAACAAAGTTGAATAATAAAAGTGAGGATTCATATCCTGGAATAGTCAAAAGGATTTGACTGAGAACTGCTCTGAAGCTTGCAAGGTAGAGCTCAGTTTGTATACCTTGTTACAGAGTAGCATCCATATTCAAGAAGAAAAGCATCAATGAGCCATTGACTGTAAAAATTTTTTGTTAAAGGGTTTCCTGTGTTTGTTATTAGGTCTAGATCTTTCAATTTTCTAAGAAATCTTCATATCTAAGAAATGTCAATGCTGTCTTTGCACAGAGGAGGGTGATATTGTTGGGGTTTAATCATTTCCTTGATTTCTAAAGCATATGCGATGGAGACACAAAGGCTAGGTGCCCTTTGTTAAAATCTTGTGTTGAATTCTTGGTCTTTTTTGGAAGGTCAAGTTTGGCTTGTACACATCAGATTCTGGTGGTAGGGGATGTGCTTTATATGGTGTTCAGGGGAAGGGATGGTATTCCAGAAAAAGAACACTTTTAGAGAATACTACTTCCCTCTGAAGTATAGGATCCTGGAGTATAGGATATTGTAGAAGCACAGGAAGGGATATTACAAATTAATAACAATGTTCCAGACAACTAATATTTACTTTGATCTTTGTTTGCCAAGCACTAAGTGGTCAATGTACATTCTGTAATTGAACTTCACAAATCTTTGTGTAAGGGTA